AAACATAATTCTGCAATGTTCTACCAGCAAATCTGTGATTATCAGAGGAGATCTGCAGCTAATTCGTAGGCTTTTTCTTCAGACTCAATCCAAGGGAAGTTGCAGGCAGAGAAGATCTTCTCAGTGTGAATAGCTAATGTCTTCTGCATTTGCATAGCAAAGGAAACCCTACTAGACCATTCTTTCAGAAGAATCCCCAGAGTAAATGGGATGACAAGACTGCCATCCATGCGTTCCCCTGGTGAAACCTCTAGGAATGGAAACTGTACCTGAAGGCAGTCCTTGTCCCCGCATGAAGTGTCATTCTTAATATTAGAGGTTTCTCCCTTTTGGAGACTATGAAGAGAGATCCATGGGAGATTGCAAACTAACTGCCATTGAGGTGACTCAGTAGGACAGGGTAGAACTACTCCTGTGAGTTTCCCAGACTGTTTACAGGAGTAAGAAGCTCCAACTTTTCCCCATGGGGCCACTGGTGTTTTGAACTGTCAACCCATGTAGTTAGCAGCCCCAAGTGTAACCGCAGTACCACCAGGACTCCTATGAAGACAGATCCATTCTTGTTGGTCTACCCCTAGACACCCTTTAGCTTCTCTCTGTTTCTAGGATGTGTTAGTTAATATGCTTCGAGTTAGAGGCATAAGCTTCTGGTCTTATTTATGCGCTCTTCTTCAAATATGTACCAAGACATGCCAATTATTCAGTGTTTTAGTCTAATTGTTTATGTTAGAAAGTGAGTTTAGATTTAGAAAATCCAGACTTTTCTAAGCATCACTAACTTCTAATAGAAAGTTCACTGAGTAAGTGGAAGGCAATTTAAGAGATTACTTAAAATATGGACACCAAATGGAAGTAGGAGAGAGAGAAATTTGTAAAATTTAAAAAATAGATACATAAATCGTAGCACACATAGATACATAGGTAAACACATAGGTAATGTGTTTTATGACATATTACAGTAGCTTACAAAAATAGATTATCCCAAACACTCACATTCCGTGCTTTCTATGTGCAAAGAATTAATCATCTAACAAGAACCAGATAATCCTACTCTTTTTTTTAAAAAAGACAGTTTCACCTCATCTGTTTGGGGAGCAAGTCTATCTTAGTCCCCGGTAACCAATTCCTAGTCCTGGCCAGAGAGGATTGCCGCCTTCTGATTTTCTTTGGTGTCATCAAACCTTTTGACTTTTAGCCCCTTGTCCAGATATAATGTTTTCATTGTCCTCTAACTTTTCTTGCTCAGAATCCCTCCTTCAGTATATTTAGTGTGATTTAAATGGAGTCCTGCATAAATTAATTTTTGGACTTCCTGTTCTTAATTTCTTTCATGGAGGAAAAAGTTGAAGTTGTCAAGGAATTTCATTTTATTTGAATCAACAATCAATGAGCCATGGACGTAATAGTCAAGAAATGAAGCAATGTATTGCAGTGAGCACACCTCCTACAAAAATAGCTCTTTAAACTTTCAGGAAATAAAGATGTCACTTTGATGACTAAGGTGTGTTCTTCTCAAACATCAGACTTTTTAATTGTCTCATGCATGTGAAAGCCCAATAATGAAAATGAAAGATAAAAAAAGGATACATTTGAACTGAAGTTTTGGCAAAGAATATTAAATATAGTGTGGATTGCCAAAGGATGAACAAATCAATCTTTGAAGCAACACAAGGGACTAAGGTGTACCTGACCCAAGCTACGATCTTGTCACTCACCCCTAATGTGTATGAACGCTGGGCAGTGAAGCAAGGCTGAAAGAGAATGGGTACATATGGATTGTGGTTTAGGCTAAGGATATGAATATACCATTGTCTGCCAAAAGAATAAACCAGTCTGTCGTGGAAGAAGTATAACCAGACTGTTCCTTCGACGTGAAGACGGAGAGACGTGACGTATTGCTTTGGCTATGGCATCAGGGAAGACCATTCGCTAGACAACTGCACTGTGTTGATTAGGGGTCAGTGCGATGAGATGGGTTGACATGGCTGCAGCAGTGGGTTCAAGCACACTGAAGGGGCTGAGGTTGGCGCGGGACCAGGCAGTGTTTTGTTGGGTTATACATAAGGTCACCATCGGGGGTCAACTCAGTGGGAACTGACAACAGTGTTCAAAGTTCATTTGAATTTAAAACATAGACCCAAGTCTAGGGAAATGGGATAGTTATTAGTGACTATCTGACCCAAGCCATGGTATTTTCAGTTGCCATTTATGCATGTGAACTGTTGGACATACAATTAGGAAGGCTGAAGAAGAGTCAATGCATTTGAATTATGGTGTTGGCAAAGAATATTGAAAGTATCACATACTGCCAAAAGTACAAACCAATCTGCTTGGAAGAAGTACAGCCAGAAGGCTCCTTAGAGGCAATGATGGCGAGACTTTGTCTCATATACTTCGGACATGTTGTCAGGAGAGACCAATCCCTAGAGAAGGGCATCTTAATACTTGGGAAAATAGCATGGCCGCGAAAAAGAAGAAAACCTTTGAGAAGATGGATTGACAGAGTGGCTGCATCGATGGGCTCAAACAGGAGGAGAGGTGTGAGGATGGCGCAGGACCAGACAGTGTTTTGTTCTGTTTTATGTAGGGTGGCTGTGGATTGGAACCAACTCCATGGCACCTAACAGCAATGGCATTCTTTATAGGTTTAGAAGTCATTCTTAAGTGAAATTTTCCCCTAAGATAATAATTTTCACTTACTTAACAAGTATGTTAAGCCGCTGCTATGTGCAGGCAGTGGTCTGCGCTCTGGGGTGCATTTTTTATTCAGCGGTGGTGGGTATTGTGCCGAGGCGGTTCCTATCACAGTGACCCTCTGTACGACAGGAGCAAACCCTGCCCAGCCTGTGCTTCCTCCCAGTCGTTATGTGTGAGCTCACTGTTGCTGAGAGGTTGAGAGATGTGCAGCCCTTTTATTCTGATCAGTTGTTACTATGGAGAACTGAGTCATTTGGATTAGTAATTGAGCCACATTTGGCTTTAAGGGTTGTTATAACTCCTTTGATGCACTCAAACCCAAAACCAAACCCGTTGCCTCCAAGTTGATGCTGACTCACTGACCTGTAGGGCAATAGAACTACCTCTACAGGGTTTCCAGTCGCCAGGCCTCCAACCTGTTAGTTAGCAGCCAAAGGTTTAACCGTCAACAGGGCCCCTTCAGTGTACCCTTAACCTTCACGGTTCTTTATCGGCTGCCTTCTGCGCAGTGTGAGGCGTGGCACACTTGCTGTATGTCAGTATCAGGGAGAATGCAGCTCTCTGCTCCCACTCCTGTTCGCTTGAGAGGCTGCCAGTGTGTATTACTCGGTGCAAGGCTCCAGCCCCGTCTTCGGCAGTCTGTGCTCTTCATCCTTGAGGGTAGACTTTCACAGTGTGGGGTTTCTTGCCTGTGCTGACTCTTCATGCCTCCGGCCCATCCGGTCATCTCATGGTCCCCTGATGGAGACCTGTGGGAGATAACTGGCAGTAAGCGTGCACTCCCTTTTGGTCTGGTGCTTTCAGTATTCTAGCCAGTCAACTAGCCAACAGTCAGCACTGTGAAGGAATGGGAACATTCCCATTCCTTTGTCCCTACTGGCAGTTCTTTGTTCTGAAAGCCTGTACTTTGTCAAATGTAAAATTCTCTGTATCCTTTTAGGATTCATTTTATCCCTTGGCATGAATTCTTCTTCCTCAGAAGATATATCTGAGGATAATCTAGGTTGAAAGGTGATTTGCTCACATTGTTTTTTGTTTCTTTTCCATGCTTTGTACAAATTCTTGGATAACCAAAGAAGAAAATGATCAAGCTTTGTCAACTTGAATAAGTAGACCTTATTTTTTCCTATTGTTGAGGTGACAAAAAATGAAATGTCATGACTTAGGTTTATATCTTGGTTGTGATAACTAACTTTTTAAAAAAGTACTTGCTTCCTTTGATGCAAATATATTGGTGAATGCAGTAGACTATGCAGGGGACAAAGTTATGAAAACATCTCAGAACCACACACCTGGAGGGAATGAGTTGCTGAGCCTCGAGATTGAGGACCACAGTCTCTAGGCACAGCAAGGTTAATGGCAAGACGGTGCACAGAGATAAGGCATTACAACCCTCCTTTGATGAACAGTGAGTGGGGTCTTAAAAGCTCATGAGCAGCCATCTAAGGTACACCTACTGGTCTTTCCCTGCCCAGAGGAAGCAAGAGTGATGAGAACAGAAAGGTACATGGAAGCAGTCTGTTAGATTAATGAAGCCTGCACACAGCAGTCTGCACAATCCTGAGACCAAATAACTAGAAGGTGTCCAGCTACTACAACCATCTGCTTGAAAAGGTTCACATTAGAAGGTCCTGGATAAGGTGGGAGACAAATAAGGAACAGAACTCAAAATCCTACAAGGGACCAGCCCTTTTGGTTGAATAAACTGATAGAACCTCCAGACTATGACCCTTAGACATCCTGCACGCCTGGACTGAGCTGCTCCCCATGATTTCCATTGTCAGCCAGACAGTAGGTCTACAAGAGAAACAGCACTAGTGATGGAAGGACACCTTAGAAAAATCCATCATTTCACATCACCAGGCAGCATTTGACCACGGACAGGATCCCGAAAGGTTAGGAGAAGAGGAAGGATGGAAGCAGAAACAGGGAGGAGGTGGGAGTAGTGACGGTACATTACGGGGAGGCAGTGACCGAGATGAAACAAAGTGCATATGAACTGCTGTGTAGGAAATCGATGTACTGTATAAACCTTCCCCCAATTCACAGCAAGACGTTGGTTTTCTTATTTTTACTGGCTTTGATCTACTTTGAGACCAAGCAGCAAGTCAGTCGTGAAAAATAATTATTTACTCTTTCAGGACAATGCTTTGACATCGTGGGAGTATCTATTTCAACATTAAATAAATAAACATTTCAGAAGGAAGCCTTGTCTTAATAGTCCGGGTATGGCATGCTGTCAAAAGAGTTGCTTTTAATAGTTTACAATATGAGATAACAGCTTCACGTTTCTTTTGTTTTAGGTATTGGTGGTAATTTGGTGGCCATTCAGGCTAGCAGGATTTCCACCTACCTGCATTTACATAGCATTCCCGGAGAACTGCCTGACGAACCCAAAGGCTGTCACCATCCATTTAGAACTTTTTTTGGTCCAGGTATGTGCTTGAAAATGTTTGCTTATTTTGTCTCGAAGCTATGACTAGAAGAGATTATGGAGAGGTAGTATTTGTCGAATACCTGTTTTCTCGGTCTTTCTGAGGTCTTATTTCAGTGAACAAAACATTTTTATTAATTCAACAGTTGCTGGAGAACATTTGTATGACATTTTTTTTTCTCCCACTTTCACCCTTCTCTCAAGATCCCTTGTAAGGGTCAGGAGAGTGGAACTGAATGCGCACAAAAAAGCATTGCTAGGGAATTTAGGGACATCTATGCTCTCCCTTTGACATACTAATCTTGCAGGCCTTTCTAAATGCAGGCATTTAATCCCAAACAAGAGCACAGGAAATGACCCTAGTTGGAAGGAACACTGCATTGCTTATATCAACCACGCATGTGATTGCCAACAGCTAAGAGCACACAGGAGCAAAACTTGTGAGGATGGTGCAGCACCGGGTGGTGTTTCATTCTGTTGTACAGAAGGTGGCTATGAGTCAAAACTGACTCGACAGCCCCTAACAACAATAGCAAGACCACAGTTTATATCGCTCGAAATTCATGTCACATTTTTCCTTGGAGAAAAGGCAAGTGAAAACTGCCCAGCCTTATTATTATCAGCACTCTTTTAAATTCTTTTTTAATCTTTAATAATCTTTTATTGGGGGCTCTTACAGCTCTTACCACAATCCATACATATATCCATTGTGTCAAGCACATTTGTACATATGTTG